AGGAATTTTTGTCTTTTTCTTTCTAGTGCTGAAAGTTTATGACTCTCTAGTTAAGGCACGGCACATTTTGCATTAACAGTGGGCAATTTCAACTTTAAATGTTTAGGTCATGTGTTTCCCAAAAAACATCAGAATAACTCAGAAATTCAATTTACCTTGTTATTAAAAGACACTTCCCCGATTACCTCTCACAATCTGAAACATTTTCTAAATCTATACATGTCTCAGCTAAGGTGCGGAAAATATGAACAAAAGCCCTGCAACTCATTATACAGACCTGTCCACGTCCAGGGGATGGTGGGCATGGACACAGAGAACACAATATATCCCTTTGCAAGAAGAGATGAAATAGCTACAATCTGTCAGGAAGAGCTTCCCTAAGAGCTGATCTCTGGGTATATGAAGCTACCCAGATTGTGATAGTGCAGGGGAAAAAATGAGTTATTGGAGGGTCCCAACTCACTTTTCCTATGACAAACCAGTGAGACTACTGCAGGCATAGCTGTCCACTCACCTGTCTGGGAATACCTGGTACCATGCCCTTCCTCTGGGAAAAAATGCTTCTCACTCATTCCAGGGGTAGGAGGAATTTCAGAAACAGGTAACTCTTCAATATCATCGTAACCATTTTCAGTGGCATCAGTCTGCTTTCCTGGAGGGTCTGAAAGCAGACAAGGACTTAGGCGGAATAGCAAAATATTGGTTGGACTAAGTGGTGTCCTAAGTCCCTTCTAATGCAGAGATTCTACTAGTTGATAAATATAGGCCCCAGATTCCAAGGCTGTCTGAAAGGTACATATTTGATCTCAATATTCCCATAAACCATTAAAATCTTCAAAATATTTGAATGTATTAAGGTTGATGATATTTTTCTAAAAAGGCCTCTCAGACCGTAAAGAATCAACTAAAGCTATTGTGCTATGAATTTCAGGTACTATTTTCAACATACGGTAAGAGAGCTGCAACACATAATATATACGTACCCGTAACTGAGGGAGTGTGAATCTGGATCAAGAGAACCCAGGCTACAAACTTAGCCTCTGAGGCTGTGGGAGACACACAGCTGCCAGGGAGAGGGTTGCCTGGGTATCACCCAGAGACAAGAGATCCCACCGATCTCAATCACAGGAGGCCTAGGTTTCGATTCCCTCCAGTGCTCTATTGATCTCGACAACTCATTCCACAGAGCCCTTGTGGACATACCCTGCCCCAAGCAAGGGCTGTCCATCTCTACTACTGTGGAAGATCCAGGGAGAAAATTCTCCTCTCTGAAGCCTCTTGTAAATAAGAGGTCCTGGTAGCTGGTAAGCAAAACAGTATGCACTCCGTGTGTTCTAGGGCTTTGTAGAAGTCAATTTCTTTTTTATCTCAACATACATATAAACCACCTAAAAATATTGCACTATCTCAGGGTCAAAATCATATTTCCCAGTGTTCTCTCCTAGCATGGATTTTTTGCTATTATTAGTTTCAAATGTCATTTTAAAAAACATGGTCTTTGAATCTATAACAATACATTAGGTGCATGTCCATGACTGAGTAGAAGTGAATACAGAGAACTGAGCCTGATCTTTCCTTTTCTGAGTCCACAGGGTGGGCAGAGAGAAGAAAAAATTGTTGCCAGCTGGAAAGAAGAGACACTTCTAATCCTAATCACAGAAGAATGTTCTCCTCAGACGTGATTCCTCCTCATCCTCACCATTTAGGGACAAAGCAATTCCTCTTACCTAGGACAGATTCAGGATCTGTATCCTCCTCATTGTTTCCTGTGTAATATGGCAGCTTAGTCAATGACTCATCAGACAGTTTTCCTGGTAGGGAGGAAAACATCAAAGACAAAGAGCAAAACTTTTCCCACAGTATATGGTCCAATGTCAAGGTTCAGAAGAAATCTTGAAGCTTCAGATTAGTAGAGAGAGGGCTTGATGCTCCTGCCTTAAGAGGATGCTGCCATGTGAAGTTGTGATAGTTGTGGGATCTGCGCTTGCTGAAGGTACCCAAACCCATAGCCAGCTTATGAACAGTGGGGAGGACATAGGATACACACCTGAGTTGTCCAACAGGTCCTCCTTCTCTGGTTGTAAAATGTAATCATCAATATCCTCGTACAAAGCCTCATCGAGAGCACCTTCAAAACTAGATAAGACTGAGGAAAGCAGCACAGTTCAGAGACTGACCTGAAGATATTCCCTTTACCAATAGACAAAGCCTTCAGTGCTCCCCAATGCTCACCCTTGGAGAAACCCCTTTGGGCTCCAGGGCGCCTTTCTTTAGCCTTGTGCTTTCTTGTGTCAGAACTAGTTTTCTTGATCCTGATCTTGGTCATATATACTCAATCTCCACTGACACTGTTCACACAGGAAGCCATACTTTTTGAGAACTTCCACACTCAACCCAGCACCAAAGACTCGAGTTACTCAAACCTTGACGTCTATTGTAGAGAAGGTGGGGTTTTGCCAGATAATGAGGTTGAAGCCTAAAACTTGTACACTTTTCTTGACATTACAATTGGCTCAATGCTCTCCTCACATACTTTTCAGGTCATTTAGCATCTCTAAGGCCCACCTCGGAGCTCTGTTCTCCATCTGTGCAGCTGAGTTCCCAAGAAGATAAGGACCAGGAAGAGAAGGGCCCCCAGAATGAGGCAGATGACCACAGGTAGGGAGAAGATGTCGGAGACAGGGTCTGAGCCTGAACTTGTGCCTAAGGAGAAAAAAGAACGATGAGATTTTAGAGAGGATCATAAGCCCAGGAGAATCCCCTCATCGTAGTCATCTGCTGAGTCCTCAGCACCATGAAGTCACCAGTTCACATACAATGGGTCTGCCTGAACCCCAAGATGTGACCAAGCCAGGTCCTTCCCTGAGCTGTGTCAACTGTCTTCTGAACCTGCTCCTAAGGAGTTTCTATAAAGTAAATGCTGGTGAACCTTAGGAGCTTCATGGTTGCCATAACTTACTGGAGCTATAAACATCTGGTAACCAGGACTTTCACGTACTGATACGGTTCATTTTGCCAGAAATATGTAGAGTACAGAGCACAGGTCCCGGAAAATCTGAGTTTCTCCTCTATCACTTGGCTTGGAGCAGAAAAATCACTTACCTCCAACGGTCAGGGAAGATGTTGTCCTCTTACCTGGAGGGAAGAGAAGGAAAATGGGACCACTGTACTGAGTTGGCCTGGAAAAACCTTCGGGTCACACCTCCCATCACTGGCACTTGCTTCTATCCCACATTCCAGAAGAGAAGATCACAGCATCTCCAATGTCAGAGCACAGGGTAGCAGGTAGGCCCAGGAAGTGCTTCTGGAGACAAACTCACATCTCCTTCAGCATTAGCCCTCTCTCCTGTCCCTCCACTCACCAGAGCACCTCACTCCAGCATCCTCCTCGTGCTTACAGTTGTTCTGCCCCCAGGGCTGCGCAGCACAGGCCCACAGGGAAGACTCCCTGCCTCTGCACCGCACCTCGTCCAGCCAGATGCTCCCATTTCCTGGGCCAAATGCAGCCTCCTGCAGGGCTTCCAGGGCAGAGCCACAGTCCAGCTGCTGACACACCACCTCGGCCTCTGCCAGGCTCCAGGAGTCGTCACACACTGTGCCCCAGGAGCCGTTGTGCCAAATCTCCACTCGCCCTGAGCATGTGGTGTCTCCTCCCCTGAGTCGAAGCTTCTCTTTGTCTGGAAAGGCAGCAGCACTTCCTGTTACTGGCCTGGTGGGAGGAAGGCACCCTGAGGACCAACAGGGGAGGTGGGAGGGGCTGAAGTACCTGTGCAGGGGGCAGCAGTGGGACAGCTCTTCGGTTTCTTTCCTGAAGAAATAGACAATGGGGAAGAACCGGATTAGGGGGAGCTGGGGACCATCACACGGTCACCAAGTTGGACTGTTCCAGGACAAGGCTTCCTAAGATCCCATTCGGCACAAAAAGAAAGGGAAATCATGAGCCCAGAGAAATCAAAGGCTTCATATCAACTTCAACAGGTGAACAACTAATATATATATTTAAGAATCAATTGCCATCAATTCTGACTCATGGAGACCCCATGTTGTGTCAGAGTAGAACTGTGCTTCATAGGGTTTTCAGTGGCTGATTTTTAGAAGTAGATTGCCAGACCTTTCTTCTGAGGCCCCTCTGGGTAGACTCTAACTACCAACCTTTCAGTTAGCAGCCGAGTGCATTAACCTTTTGCACCACCCAGGGACTCTGAGACATATACTGGTGTTACTTTTTTCTCTTTTTTTTTTTTTGTTTCTGTTTTTTGTTTGTTTGTTTGGTTTTTTTTTTTGTTTGGTTTGGGTTTTTGAGCTACGTCTTCATCAGTTCAAGTAAAAAATAATATTCTCCTTCTAGCTCATGAAGGTGAAAAGAATTTTGGGCTATAGCGTTCTGACCTCATTGCCAATGTGGAATTTTACCACCACCTAGCATAGTGCTTAGTAAATGTTCATTTTAAGTGAAGGCCCATCTCTTGTCTTCCTTATGTGAGGTCATAAACTCCAGTGAACAAAATTTAAGTTTCCAACACAGTACAAGCTCAAGATGCTCATGTCTTCTATTCACTTCTACATGTTTTAACTTAGTGCTTTCAGGCCTGAACACCTTTTTTTTTGTTTCTCCAAAAACTTTGGATTTTGAGGTTCAAGAATTGATGTTCCCAATACATAAATGCATTTTGTAGGCTTAATCTGAAATTTAAGCCATACAATTAAAATATAAATTTGCATAAACAAGCACATAGAAGGATGGTGTAGTCTACCCAAATTCAGATAAATAAGTCACCTGCACAAATGATGTGAGCTACTTCTTTTGGAGAGCATGATCTGTTGTTCCAGGGATCAGAAAGACACTGCCACAGAGAGGTGTCACTTTTCCGACACTGGATTCCATCCACCCAAAGGGGCTGAGAGAGTGTCCTGATACCAGCCAAAATGTTGAGCTCGCCAGTGTCCCCACAGCCCAACTGCCTGCAGATCACAGACAGGGTGGTGGGCTCCATTGGGCTTCTGCAGACGCTGCCCCACGTCCCGTTGTAGAAGACCTCCAGCCAGCCAGCACAGTCATGGTCATCACTCACCAGCCTGAGGGCCAGGGACTCTGAAAGTAGAGATGGAAGGAATGAGGGCACTGGGCCCCAGTGTGGCTGACATAGTGCTGTGATCCCTCATCTCCAGGTGATGGAACTGCTTATCTCAGACACTGCAGAGGAGTTTCCCACCTTGAAGGAGTTCATAAATTTCTTTCTGATTCATTTTCTTAATCAGGGTTTAATCTCTTGTGCCCTGCTGTCTCTCTTTATAGGGACTGGAACAACTGAGGTGAGGAGAAGCAGCCCTCCAGTTATTGCCTCAGCCTCTGGGAGATACACTAATACAAATAAGGTGTGGGTGGGAGTTTGCAAGTCATTTAGTTTTCTTTTTTACTACTTCTGAAATATAAGTGCTGTTTTTATTTGGAACACTAGAAAAAACTATCTTGTCTGATGAAATCACTGCTGGACGAAATCTAGCATTCACAGCTATTTGAGCACCAAGGACCACAGCAAGAAGACCCCTTCCCCTGTGGCTCACTCAGATCATTCTCCCTGGGGGCCCAGACCCTACCCCTGTGGAGCTCCGTGATGCCTTCCCCAGGATGTAAGCAACAGGAACAGCAGACCTGAGCAGATGACTCCTGCGTCCTCCTTGTGCCTGCAGTTGTGCTGTCCCCAGCCCCGGGAAGGGCACCTCCACACATGGGACTCCTGTCCTGTGCATTTCAGGTCATCCAGCCAGATGGGTCCTGTTCCTTCCCCGAAATGAGAAGAACCAATGGCTTTAATGGCCACTCCACAGCCCAGCTGTCTGCACACCACGTGGGCGTCGTTCATGTCCCAGTTGTCATCACAGATGTTGCCCCAGGAACCCTGGTGAAGGATTTCCACTCTCCCAGCACAGGGACTGCCCCCATCCACCAGGCGGAGCCATCTGTTCTCTGGGGAGAGAGAGTCATGTCAATGGGGAATTTATACAGGATGAGAGAGGTTCTGGTCCTGTGGGACTCCTCACCTGAGCAGTTAGCAGCACTGTCCTCCGAGGCTGCAGAGCCCGCTGGGTGAGATACGGAGTTGTTGCATGGAAGCAGAAGCTGGGTCTGGTTTCCTGCAAAGGGCATACCATTCAGCAGGACCAGCTACATAATTTGTAGGGCTCAATGCAAAATAAAATATGGGGTCCCTTTTTCAAAAATTATTAAGGATTTCAAGACAGTGACAGAAGAGCATTCTAAGGCACAGGTCACACCCCTTGAACTCAGCTCTGATGTTCACCTCTAGGGGCTGGGATCAGAAACATTACAGCTTAAGAAACGCAGTCAATGAAACTACCATAACCCATTACACATTGCCGTCAAGTCGATTCTGACTCATAGAGACAATATAGGACAGAGTAGAACAGCCCCACAGGGTTTCCAAGGAGCAGCTGGTAGATTTGAACTTCCACCCTTTTGGTTTGCAGCTAAGCTCTTAACCACTGCACTACCAGGGCTCCAGAACTACCATATATTACCCAGCAATTCCACGTCTAGGTATGTACCCAAAAGACTTGAAAGCAGAGACTCAAACAGAGACTTGTACACTAATGATCACTGCAGCACTATTCACAATAGCCAAAAGGTGGAAAGAACATAAAAGCCCATCAACAGATGAATGGATAAACAAAATGTGGTACATACATACAATGGAATACTACTCTGCTACTAGGAGAAATGAAGTTTTTATATATTCTACAATATGGATGAAGCTTGAAGACATTATGCTGAGTGAAATAAGTCTATCATAAAAGGACAAATATTGCATGACCTCACTTATATAAAAAGACAAAAATATACAAATGTATAGAGACCAAAGTTCCTTAGTGGTTGCCAGGGGCAGGAGGGAGAGGAAGGGAAGGATTATTGCTTATGGCGTACTGAATTTCGGTTTCTAGTGATGGAAAAATTGCATCAGTTAAGGGTAGGGTTGCATAGCCTACTAACGTAATTGCTGTCAATAAATTGTACACCTGTAAACAGCTAGACTGGCAAAAGTTGTGCATAGATATATTTGCAACAATAACAAAAAAAAAGAAAAAGTAGCTGCTGAGGCTGCTTATGTACAACCAAACATCTCACAGGATTTGGTTCCTTGGTTTGGAGGTTTAGGGTCATGGTTTCATGGGACATCCCAGTTAATTCGCCTAATATCATGTTTAGTGCTTCTGTTCTACCTCCTAGTTCATTGTGTAGTGCGTGGGGTCTTAAAAGCTTGCAAGCTGCCACCAAAAGTACAGCAATTTGTCTCTATTCACCTGGATCAACAGATGAAGAAGGAAAGTCAGGAATAGGAGAAGGAATGGAATGTGTGGCTAATTGCTTCCATGAACAACTGCCCCTTTGCCACGACACCAGAACTGGATGGTGCCTCGCTATCATTACTGAACATTTTGATCAAAGATTCTATAGAATAATCCTGATCAAAAGGGAGAAAATGAAGAACAGAATTTCAAATTCTCATGGACTCTAGATTTTCTGGAGACATGGGAGCTGGAGAAACCCGCAAAACTACTGCCCTGAGATAATCTCTAAAACTTAAACCAAAAGTATCCCTTGAAGTCTTCTTAAATCAAATAACAGTTTAGCTTAATTAGTAAAGAATATCTTCCTTGAGCATTTGCTCTTTTAAGATCTATCTATATGGGATCAAATTGACAACAGCAACTCAAAGGATTAGATAGAAATCTTAGGGGGCAATGAGTTTATGTTAATGGGAGAGAAACAACTTAGAAAAGGAAGATGAGGATGGTTGCACAACTCGAAGAATGTAATCAATGTCACTGAATTTTACATATAGAAACTTGAATTGGTGTACATTTTTGCTGTAAATATTCTCAACAACAACATGAAAATAAAATAATTTTTAAAAGAAAACAAATCTACAGCTAAAAAAAAGAAGGAAAGAAAGAAATAGAGTCAAGAGCAGGAGTGAGCAAGTCAGAGGCCACAGAATGAGACCCGCAGGCTGAAGCCCACATGGAATTACTCTTTCCTCAATTTCTGCCTGGAGCTGAAAAGTGAAGGACCCATGAGAATAGGCAAGGTATTCCCCAGAAGTCTTCGTTTATGACTTCCACCTTCAGGACCCCCTGCTCAGGCACGCATCCATCAGGGAGAGTCCTAAATATATCAGCCCTTATCTCTCTTACCTGAGCAGATCACAGACGCAGCACCTCCCTGGGAACAGTCAGGATACCCCAAGGCAGTCCCAGGGCACTCCCATAAATGGGACTCAGTCCCTGAGCAGTGAAACTTGTGCTTCCAAACCTGGCCACTTCCTTCCTGAAAAGGCACCCCTCTTGGGGTGGCAATGGCAACCCCACAGCCAAGGTCCTGACAGACAACATTGGCAGCTGCCAGATCCCAGAGAGAGTCGCAGAGCGGTCTCCAATCTCCAAAAATCTGAATCTCCACTCGGCCCTCACATTCGGACCCATCCTTAGACACAAGCCGCAGTCCTGTGTATTCTGGGAGAAAACGACGGGAGTTTCAACAAAACTATGTGATTTTCTAATTTTAACATAATTGAGGGGAGGAGAAACAGATTAAAGTCCTGCTCTGAGTCTCACCTGAACAGACAACATGGACAGCCCCACTGTGGTGACAAGTGCCTCCAGGACAGGGCACTCTGTGGCAGAAATGGAGCTCAGATTCCTGCCCCTCACACCAGAACTCTTCAGTCCAGACCTGTCCATAGGCGTCTCTCAAGGGCATATCCTGCTGGACAGACACAGCCTTGCCACACCCCAGCTCTGCACAGATGACATGGGCAGTGGGGAACGTGAAGTTCCTATCAGACACTGGAGTCCACTCTGTTCCAGTATATATTTCAACTCTCCCTGAGCATGGTCCGTTCCCTCCAGCCAGATGGACAAATCCTGAGAAAGAAAAAGGAAAAAACTTAGTGAGTGCACCTGACCTTTGGGAGATTACTGAGAGTGAAAAGTCACAGGCAACACTGATAAAACATGTGCTGTCCTAGAGAGAATGACTCAGGTGCTGACTTAGAGCAAGAGGTAAAAGAGCGAGCCTTCATCACAGGGAGAATCAGCCTTCTGTAATATAGTTCAATTAAATCAGACAGGAAAAAAAAATTAGTCTAAATGAGACTTCCAAGGGCAAGCCTCCAAAAAGGAAATGGACAATGTCAAGTAACAACTTCACTATTAGTTAAGAAAAACCTGAATCCCTGAAAAATGCTATGTGGGACCAGATAGGACCAGGATCAAGGAAACTACTTACTGAATGAACGTTCACCCTGGGTACTGAGATCTGACCTGCGGGACCACTCTGGAAGTTGATTTAAAAAAAAAAAGGGGGGGGGGTAAAATCTTAAGATGACTGAGAACTGCCTCCTTCTTCCCATATACTGTACCTCATAGGTCAGGTATAGGGCCAATTTGAGTTGGTGTAGTGGTCAAGAACTCAGTTGCTAACCAAAAATTTTGGCAGTTTGAATCAACCAGCCACTCCCGTGAAACCCTATGGGGCCGTTCTACTCTGTCCTATAGGGTTGCTGGGAGTGGGACTCGACTTGACAGCAATGGGTTTTGGGTTAAAAAAGGAGCCCTGGTGGCAGTGGTCAAGTGCCCGGCTGCTAACCAGAGAGGTTTGAACCCACTAGCCCCTCCATGGAAGAAGGATGTGGCAGTTTGCTCCGTCAAGATTACAGTCTTGGAAACCATATGGGGCAGTTCTACTCTGTCCTATGGGGTCGCTATGAATCAGAATTAATTCAGTAGCAATGGGTTTGGTTTTTGGTTTTTGATTAAAAAACTTAGTAGTACCTGGTCTCCCATCTAGCACATGAGTTAGTAGGAAAAGAAGTGGTAAAGGGTACTGTTAAATTTATACTTTGTCCTCCAGACCTGATGGAGTTAAAGAGCCTGAAAGATGTCACCTGAAAACCCCTATTTGAAATTCCTGTCTCTTTTGACTTCATTGGCATGCACAAACGTTTTGGCTAGTGCACACACCTTGACTAGCCTACTCACTTAGATGTTTAGCTTAGACATTAAACAGCCCCTTTTGAATAGGTAAGACGCACTTTGCACATTTTGTTCTCTGCATGACCTGATGGTATGTCAAAATATATTTTAAAATGCTCATTTTCTTTCTTTCTCTGCCTCTTTGTTGTTTATATATATATGTATATATATAAATTCCCTACTTGCTCTTGTTCAGGGGAGTACTTCCTAGTTTTACTGGGAATGTGCTGCCCAATTCATGAATCTTTCTGAACCCAAATAAACTCTTTAAATTTAATTTTAGCTTTGTCAGAATTATTTTTTTAACAATTATTTTTTACCACTTAAACCAGGCCTGCTCTATGAATCCATAAACAAGCCAGATATTTAAGATAAGAAGCACTGAAGCTGTGATGGACTGCTTTTGTACCTTCACTTTTCAGTTTGTGTCCTATAACGTTTTATGATGACATTCTCACCCTTGTCTTAGCTGAACTAAATAGAAAGAAATTATCCTTGCCTGCATCTGGATGTAATGGAATCAGAGAACCCTTGAGCCACCCGGTGTTAAAGTTGTAAGACACACCAGTGGAGCTTCTTCAGGGTAAGATCTCAGAAAGGAGAATAAGGACAGACGAGTGTGCTGTTATTTCATTAAAGATGTTTTTCCCTCAGGAGGCCTTTGCATTTGATGCAGTAGATTCTCACTACCTTCCAAAGGCGAGTATCATAAAATAACCAAAGAGAGGAGGAAAAAAGCTCAAATTTTGAGCAAAAATTATCACAATTTAACAAGACCAGGAACAAATAATCATTATTAAATTAAATGGAGAAATTACCAAAAAATCTGCAGACATTGAAAGTATAATAAAAAGATAGTAGGAACAATGATATGCCAATAAATTTGAAAATTTTAATTAAATTGATAGAATTACAAGAAAAACTAGTAAGGCTGCGTAATTCTATAATATGTAAGGAAATTAAATCAATAGTCAATAACCTTCACCAAAATAATTAGCAGACAGAATCTAGAAAAATATAAAAAGATAATATATCAATCCAAACTGTCTTTATTCCAGCTTTGCAAGTTTGATTTCACAGTGGAAGATTAATTAGTGAACTTTGCCACACATATTATTCAGGACCTGGCAAGAAACAAAATTCAATTCACATGGTTTAAATCAACAGATTTTTAAAGAAAGGACTACTTATAGAGATTGGGCGAGATCACAGGAAACCAAGGAATATGGAGACATTCAGTAACTAGCAGAGTGAGAAGCCTTTTATCACCCCAAGGGCTGAATAGACAATGGCAGCAGGTTTTAGGTGGCATGAACAGTTTGCAGTTCATACCCACAGCGATGCTATGGAACAAAGGCCTAACAATCTGTTTCCATAAAAATAACGGCCAAGAAAATTCTATGGAGCAGTTCTACTCTGTAACACATGGGGTCACCAAGAGTTGGAATCAACTCAACAGCAACAAGCATGGTATATGAGTAGGGCAGAATAGGAGTCTTTGGGTGGTATAAATGGTTAAGCATTTGACTACTAACTGAGCAGTTGGAGGTTCGAATCCATCCGGAGGCGCCTCGGAAGAAAAGCCTGATGATCTGCTGCCAAAAGGTCACAGCCTTGAAAACCCTATGGAATGCATGAGTCAAAATCAGCTCTACAGCAACTGGTTTGGGTTTGGTTTTAGGGCTGAATAATCAAAGGAAAGAAATCATGTTAACAGAGCACAGTGAGAGTTAAATCTAAGAAGCAGAGGACACTCACAGGCATGAAGGAATAGAGCCAGCCAGAGATGTGGGACCAAAGTAGGGAAAACATATCTCCTATCTTTCTCCTCTTCCACCAAACTCAACCAAAAGTCAGATAGCAAGAGGTTCCAGGTGATCCAGTCACAGGGCTCAGCCTTCCTGGGCCCAAATCAAGGCAGAGAAGGACAAAGAATACATCTGAGGGGAGTTGCAGATGAACAATAACCTACACACCACAATAACAAATTAAAAGTAACAAAGGACATATGTCCTTCATACGTTCAACAACAGGCATGACTCAGCTATATAATTTAAAGATGCATTCATCGTCAGTAACTTTATAAATAAAAGCAAGGAATGATTATCACAAACATCAGTGTAGTGGTACCTTCAGGAGAGAGGCCAATTGGTGTGATCAGGAAGAGATATGAGGCAGCTTGTTGGGTGTTGGCAAAGTAATTCATTAATTTGAGTGGTTATTGCATGAATTTTTGCTTTATAATTATTTGTTAAACATACACATTTATGTCATGCACTTTTTTCTAAGAATGTTTTTTACAATAAATTTAAAGAATGTATAACCTGTTGCCGTCGAGTCAATTCCAACTCATAGCAACCCCATAAGACAGAGTAGAACTGCCCCATAGGATTTCCAAGGAGTGGCTGGTGGATTCAAACTGCTGACCTTTTCATTAGCAGCTGTAGCTCTTAACCACTGTGCCACCAGGGCTCCAAAGAATGTATAGGCCTTAGGAACACATTGATGTAGAATGAGGGAGAAGAGAGAAGTAATATTTTATTTGGATAGATGGTGAGGCTTTTTTAGTAGATATTCTTTATGGTACTTTGGACATGTCATCAGAAAAAACCAATCACTAATAAAAGACATCGTGTTTGGTAAAGTAAAGGGTCAGAGAAAACAAGGGAGACCCTCCATGAAATGGATTGACACAGTGGCTACAACAACGGGATTAAACATAGAAAAGATTGCGAGGATGGCGCAGGACCAGGCAAAGTTTTGTTCTGTTATACATAAGATCACCATGAGTCAGAGCCTACTCGACAGCAACTAACAGCAACAACATTCTTTACTGAACCCTTACTCTATAGAACCCAGCAATGGGTATATTAAAATTATCTGTTAGAAAGACAAGAGTTAATAATGTGTCTTAACTCCCTCACTCTCTCCTTAGGAAGCTGTGATGGTTAATGTTATGTGTCAACTTGGCTATGCCATGATTCCCAGTATTGTGTAATTATCCTCCATCTCATGTGTTGTAAATCCTAAACTTCTGTATGTTAGTGTGGGATGTATCTTGAGTCACACCCTTACTAAAGGGTATGACTCAAGTCGCTGCCCTTACTCAAGTCACACCCTTCACCACCTTACTCAAGTATCTGAAGTAAGGACAGTTTCCTTGAGGGTGTGACCTACATCCAAATCTCACTCTTACTCTGGTTCCTGCATTCAGCTCATCATCATCTGACCTCCAGTTCTTGGGACTTGAGCCAGCAGCCTGCCGTCTGACCTGCCGATTCTGGGATTCATCAGCTTCTGCAGCCCCATGGGCCAGCAGCCCATCAACTGACTTATTGATTTGGGTTTGTCAGCCCCTGAAACCACATGAGTCAGGAGAAGCCTCCCGCCTGTCTCCTGGCCCACAGATTTATGACTTCCAGCCTCCACAACCGTGTGAGCCATTTCCTCGAGATAAATCTCTTTATATGTATACACACTTCACTTGTTTTGCTTCTCTAGAGAACACAGCCTAAGACAGAGCCTAAGGCAGTTTTGAAGACAAGACCTTTCTGATGGGATTTACTAGCTAGAAGATACCCAAGGAAATCCTTATCTAAGAATGATTATAGTATGAAACTTGACTTGTCTAGATTGTTTATTGTAAATAAATCTGAGTTTTAAAGAATGCACCTAACAAAAAATTGAAAGTCCAGTAGCTATTGAAGCCGTATAGCTAGTGAGACATAAAAACTTAAAGACTTTAGAATTGTGTAGGATTATTTTGTTCTTCAGAATTTTCAGTATTCTGTTGATTTTCCAGTGGATATTATTATTTACATAATTTGAAAAGTAAAGAGTTTTCTAATTTGAAAATATATATATATAGATCAGCCTTGCTTGAGAATTCCACGAGACTCAACTTAAAGTGATGACTCAGCATACTACCCAAAAAGTTCATAAAATATCCACATCAAGGAATGGGATTAAACCCTGAGATTAAACAGCAAAGCTCTTGACAAGGTAATGATATTTTTGTGATATTTTTGAAAAACAACAGAGGGCAAAAGTGAATTAAAATGATTCAATGATTTAATCATTGTCCTAGTCAAAAGTTAGCAGAGCTGGGAACTCAAAAGAGCACAGCAACTTTCATTAGGTACTTTTTATCTGTTTTTCTTCAACAGAAGATTAGACCTGGCAGAAGGTATATCTCAGGGAGACTGACATACAGAAAGCTCTTTGTTGTGTTTCACATGGACTCATTTAAGGAAAGTCAGCTGAATTCTCCAGGTGAAGAAGGCCAGATCAGATATACACTGGCATACTACCCAGTTTTTTTGTTTGTTTTAATTCTTGGAAATCTCTTTACTGTTTAGATGTCTGGTGACTTTCCTAGCAGTCACTACAAGCAGAGAATAACAAGATCCCAGGATCAATGCTTCGTAATTACTAAGAGATACTAAAAATCATACCCTACTCCACATTAGTCTAAACCTATAGACACCCAAAAAGGACAATGTTACAAGAAATCAAAGGAACAACAATTTTTTTAAAAATTTTAACAGAAAACACATTAATTTTGACCACAGTGTCTCTCATTCACTGACTTAACTAGTACGAAAAACAAATAATTGCCATCAAATCGGCTCCAACTCATGGCAACTCCATGTGTGTCAGAGTAGAACTGTGCTCCACAGGATTTTCAATGACTGATTTTTTGGAAGCAGATTTCCAGGCCTCTCTTTTGAGGCACCCCAGGTGGACTCAAACCTCCAACTTTCTAGTTAGCAGCCAAGCTTATTAACTGTTTGTACCACCCAGGGACTCTGACTTTACTAATTGTTGTTATTGTTGGTTGGTCCATTCCAATTCATGGCGAGGCCATGTGTTACAGAGTAGAACTGCTCCATAGGGTTTTCTTGGCTATAACATGAATGGAGGAGCCCTAGTGGTGCAGTGCAGGCCTGGTGGCACAGTGGTTAAGAGGTATGGCTGCTAACAAAAAGGTTGAAGGTTCAAATCCACCAGCCACTCTTTGGAAACCCTATGTGATAATTCTACTCTGTCCTATAGGGCCGTTATGAATCGGAATTGACTTGATGGCAACAGGTTTTTTTTTAAACTTAATGGAAGCAGATCACAAGCCTTTTCTTCTGCAGCACCACTAGGTAGCACCATTTGTGCTACCTAAGTACCTTAGTTCACTAGTACCTCTGCCCAAAATGTTGTGGAATCTGTGGACCAATCACCACCAACTCCCACAAAACTAACCTTGTGTAAGATAACCTGGAAGAGGTAGATGTCCCTTTACTTCAAGCAACAGGGGAGGTTCGAGAGGCCCAACCCCGGTCTAAACATAGATCCTCCTTGGAAGGACTCAGACTTATGGAGTCAAAATGGAATAATGCCTCTCTGGATTGCTTCCTGCCACAGGACCCAAGATAAGATTCTTTGTCTGTGGTTCTGGAAATTGCAGACAGACAAGGTTTTTCTGGGCAATGCTGGTGAGATGAGGATGGGGGATTTAATATTTTTTGGTAAGAAAGTCACACAAAAATCCACTTTAACAAGTCCTTTCTGAATTTTCAGAAACTAGAGCTATCTCTGTATTTAAAGTTCCAAATAGTCCCTGATCAAGTCTTATTTTTAGGGCCATTATTAGAGGCTAATAATCTTCTACCAAAACATGATTGCGTGGAAGTCATAGACTTTCATAGCTGGAAAAAACATTAGGTGAAACTGAGTCATGGGTCTCCATTTTACACCTGAGAAGACAGAACCCAGGGAGGTTTCAGTTTCATAATCGTAAATAGTTGTTGAGCAGTTTTAGCACCACACCTCTTGACCCAACCTCCCTACATCTCAAGACACACCACCACCATTTGAAGGTTCAAGGAACTCATAGGACTAAGACTTTTACTTCCCTGGGTCAAGGAAGCCATTATGTGGACCCCCTAATGCTCTAGGAATCACTCTATGAGGGTAGACTTCACCCAGGGACACTTAGAAGGCCATGAACCTGAATTCTCACAGTAATTCTAGTAATGAGACTGAGGCTTGTATGCTGGGAAATCCCCTGTCAGACCAGAAAGGCCTTACCTGAGCATACCACTCCAACATTCCAGGGAAGAACATAATCAAAATTTATCATATATCGATGATTAAAATATGAACATTCATTGACAGTTGGTTCTGTCCCCTTGCAGGAAAATTGTGTAAGCTGAATGAATCCAATCCTTGCTCCCAAGTGAGGCCTTATGGAAGCATCAACAGCAGTCCCACATTCCAGTTGTCTGCAAACCACAGCCCCTTTTTTCAAGTCCCAGTTGGGATCCCACACCATTTTCCACTGTCCTTGGTACTTAATCTTCACTCTCCCCTCACAGCGGTGGCCTCCCTTCTCCAGCTTCAGCTCCACAACTGCAAGAGAGACAGAGACACAGGACACAGGAGATGTTTTGGGAGGACAGGCCTTAAAGCACTCTGAATGCTGCCCTCCCTGTATATGTACCAAGGACCTGTCCTTTCACCAACATGTCCACCCACTTACTGTTGATCCCAGGAAAGGGAGGCAACTCTTACCTAGAGTGCCCACCAGGGTGTTGAGGAGGAGAAAACAGAGTTTCATGTCAGTTATTGCTCAGTGCCCTTGATGACAACAGAGAGTTTACTTTTCTCCTTCTCTCTCCCATAGGAAGCACTCCTGTCTATTTTAGAAACCGAGGGACCCCCAGCCAGATAGACAGGCTGAAGATTTGTCTGCCTGTCTTGATTCCTTGATCCAAACTAAAAACTTCTGCCTGAGTGATAAATTCTGCTTCCTGGGTTTTGCGTGGATCTGAGACCTACACCACTTCTAGCTTGGTACATTAGGTTTCTCCTCCAATACCCACACTCCTGCTTTCCTCTAGGGAACAGAGAAGTGAGTATCCTTCAGCCTTAGAATTATCTCCATTACTTTTGGATTCAAAGCCATCCTGGGGACAGACATATAAGAGTTGTCGTTCTGAAGAGCGTAGTCGATGTCACTGAACTGTGCATGTAGAAATTTTTGAAATGGTGTATCTTTGGCTATGTATATTTTCACCAAATAAAGGTCGAGAAGCGAGAGGGTTGACATGTTGTGGGGTTGTTAACCAATGTCATAAAATAATATGTGTACTACTGTTTCATGAAAAACTATTTGTTCTGTAAGCCTTCACGTGAAGTACAATAAAAAAAAATTTTTTTTAATAAAATAAAAGCTTCTGTGATGGTTAAGATTGTGAGTCAGCTTGGCTGGGCCATGATTCTCCGTGTTTTAATGTAATCATTCCCAAGATTGAATATACTGTGAGTAGCCAATCAGATGAAAGGGAGTCTCCTTGGGAGTGTGGCCCATATCTGTATATAAGCAGACGTTCTGGCTTTTTGCTCTCTAGGGATCCTGCGGCTGCTTCCTGTCATCTCATCTCCCATTCTTGGGACTTGAGCTGTCAGCTTATCTGTCGAACCTGGGATTCGTCAATCTGCACAGCCTGTGAGTGGGAGCCCTGCCCTCCAACCTTCCGATCTTGGACTTGCCAGCTTCTGCAGCTGTGTGACTTGGGAGAGGCCTCTACCCCCGGACTTGGGATGTTCTAACCTCTACAATCATGTGAGCTGTTTCCTTGATATAATCTCTATATATATATATATTTATACACTTTACTGGTTTTGCTTCTCTAGAGAACCCAGACTAAGACATTTGGTACCGGGAGCGGTTCTAGAGAAACAAAACTGTGAGGATGAGTTTTCTAAATTGGTTCTCAAGTCTGGTTAGTCATAAAGATGTTGATGACTCTGCTTCCAGCAGTAAAGAGGTCACTGCTAGTCCATGGAGCGAGGTGGCAATACAAATATGCAAAATATCACCACTGGTAGATCAGGTATTGGTGAAAGGTAGGCTCAGGGTGAACACGTGTGATATCTTTCTACAGCTTTGTCAGAATGAGAAGTATAAGGAAGCTGGTTGGTTTGTCCTACTTTCGCTAGACAAACTGATGAAGGAAAGAGATGCACTCAGGGCTTAACAGTCAAGGCTCAAGTGCCACATACATGACCTCAAGGCTCCCACTTGTGCTTTGAAAGAAAGCCTTATTTCTTGTAGTAACAGAGCCGAAATTGTTGAAAACCAAACCCAGAGTCTTATTGTAAGAGTGGCTGAATTACAACGCCAGCTCAATTGCAGACCTCGAGAGGTGTCTGAGGTTAAAGTAAGGGCATTGATTGGGAAGAGAAGGGATCCTGAGACTTGGGATGGGGACATATGGGCAGATAATCAGGAAGCTGGGGACACTGAGCCTGTAAATTCCGTTGAATCACTCCTGCCAGCAGAACCAGTCCCATCTGAAGAGATTACTTTATGTTTGTCTGCTAAACCACCCTACCCAGAAAAACCATTAGCCCCTCCACTCCCATCTGAGGATATTAGCCTTAGCCCAGCTGCCTCTAAAGAGCCCTTGCCTGAGTCATTGCCTGGAGCATTGCCTGAGGCAGATGCTTTACAAGATAATGCTGAATGTTCTCAGAACAATTCCACACTACTGGTTCTGGCTTCTAGACCTATAACTAGGCTTAAGTCCCAGCGAGCCCCAAAAGGTGAAGTACAAAGTGTGACCCAGGAGGAGGTACGCTACACTCCAAAAGAACTACTTGAGTTTTCTAATACATACAAACAGAAACCTGGGGAATATGTGTGGGAATGGCTATTAAGGGTGTGGGATAATGGTGCAAGGAACATAAAGATGGATCAGGCTGAGTTTATTGATATGGGTCCACTGAGCACAGACTGAACCTCCAATGTTTCAGCTAGAGAAGTTAGGAAAGAATTTAATAGTTTATTTGGTTGGGTTGCTGAAGCATGGATTATGAGGTGGCTGACACTAAATCAAGTTGAAGTACCAAGACCTGCCTTGGTATACAGTAGAAGAAGGTATCCAAAGGCTTAGAGAAATTGGCATGCTAGAGTGGATTTATCAAGTTAGACCCACAGACCCACACATGGGGTGTCCAGAGGACACACCTTTTACCACAACTGTGAGGAACAAATTTGTGAAGGGAGCTCCAGCATCCTTGAAGATGCTGTGATTGCTGTTTTATGTAAATCAGATTTGACAGTTGGAACTGCCCTAACTGAATTAAGACACCTAACTACAATAGGGCTGATTGGACCCCGTGGTAGTAGGGGCCAAGTGGCTGCACTCAATCGACAAAGACAAGGTGGGCAGGGTTACAGTAATGGACAGAGGAGTCAAAGCAGTAACCAGAATAGTCTGACTCGTATGGACTTATGGCATTGGCTACTTAGTCATGGTGTCCCTAGGAGTGAAATAGATAGGAAATCTACTAAATATTTACTTGATCTATACAAACGGATGAATTCTAGGTCAGGTGAACTGCAGTCTAACTCAAATCGCCAGAATAGAGAGTCATGGTCCCTCAATCAATTCCCAGATTTGAGCGAGTTTAAAGACCCACAACCCCTTGAATGAAGGGGAGGCCAGATCCCCTTGAGGAAGGACTCCAATACACTGACAAAAATTTTTACTGTTAATCTTTCACCCAGCCTTCTCCAAAGGGATCTACGGCCTTTTACGAGAGTGACTGTTCACTGGGGAAAAGGAAATAATCAGACTTTTTGGGGATTATTGGATACTGGCTCTGAGCTGACACTAATTCCAGGAGACCCAAAACGTCACTGTGGCCCACCAGTCAGAGTGGGGGCATATGGAGGTCAGGTTATTAATGGAGTCTTGGCTCATGTCCGTCTCACAGTAGGTCCAGTGGGTCCCCGAACGCATCCTGTAGTGATTTCCCCAGTTCCAGAATGCATAATTGGAATAGATATACTCAGCAACTGGCAGAACCCCCACATTGGATCCCGGACAAATAGATTAAGAGATATTATGGTAGCAAAGGCCAAGAGGAAGCCATTAGAACTACCTCTACCTAGGAAAATAGTAAACCAAAAGCAATACCACATTCCTGGAGGGATTGCAGA